GAGCCCCAGCTCTCTCAGCCTTTCCACGTCAGGGAGACGCTCCAATCCCTCAATCCTCTTTGTTTCCCTACGCTGGACTCTCTCCAGCAGTTCCCTGTCTCTCTGGAACTGAGGAGCCCAGAACTGGACGCAGGATTCCAGTTGTGGCCTCCCCAGTGCAGAGCAGAGGGGGAGAATGACCTCCCTCCACCTACTGGCCACACTCTTCCCTATGCAGCCCAGGATCCCACTGGCCCTCTTGGCAACAAGGGCCTGTTGCTGGCTCATACCTGGGTTCTGTGGGTAGTTACCTCCATGAAGATACTGCTTTTCTTTCTCCTCACTGCCATTACCCACTCCTTTCGCTTGGACTTGCTGTTGAGCGCAATCCTTTGTGCTGCTCTTTGTGTCTCAGGCATTGACGAGGTCTCTCTTAAGAAGGGCTGGTTCTGCTGTCCCTGAAGAGATGCCTCCATCTTCTGGTGTCTCAACTCTTTAAGTTCTGAGTAATTGCCTTCTGTTTCTGCCCACTAGGAAGGAGTGACATGATCAAGTTATGTTACAAAACAGATTTCTGTAGTGAAAGCTGCTCCCAAGGAAGGTAGTGCTTTCTGACAGGGTTTGGAACCGAGATGAATCTGCTGGAAGGTGGGTGGTGCTCTTCACTCACCGCCTTTTCTTGTTTTCCTCTCACGCACTGGTCTGTGTGGCCAGGTGTGAAGTGAAACATCCTTCCCTAATAAAACTAAGGTATTTTGGTGTTTAACTAACTCTTAGAACAGTAGAATACAGTTCCTATTTTCTGTGTAAATGTGGGAATACAGTTTCTTTACCTTATTTGTCCTGCTAGGTATAACCTGTTAGATAGATAGCTTGAGGTGAACCTCAAGGAGCAAAACAGCTTAAAAAATAACATGTTGGTGATGTCTGGGTGGCACACGAGAGCTGAACAATAACTAGCAGGCGGGCTGACGGGTCTGGGAGGTGTTGAACTGTGGAGCACTGCTCTGTTCAGGCACTGAAATGCCTTTTTGATGGTGGAGCCTGATCCTCCATTAACTGGGAGCATGCTGGTAGGACACAACTTCCTTGTCAAGGCAACGACCAGCCACATCTGTTCTGGGGAAAGTGTCAGTTAACTTTTGCAGTGCTGTCTCTCAGCTGCAACCGCCACTGGTTCCCAGGAGTAAGGGATGAGCAGTGCTGGGCAGGAACTCAGATGATTAGAGTATTTCTAAGTGCAGTCTCTCACCCAGAGGACATGCTGTCCCTCTGACTTGTCTGCCTCTTGTTCCCCTCTCAAAGTATTTCTAGCTTAGAGATCTGTCCCAGTCACTCTTGTCCCAGAGTCCTTCCTTTTGATATTGAAATACTGGTCTTTCTAGGAGCATTTCCTTTCAGATGGTGTGAAGTATTTGCTGGCTGATGGTACTGACCTTTCAGATCTTGCCTTGAAATTTTTTCAGGAAGCTCAGGACGAGTGCTATGAGAACTTCAAATGCTTGTAACACGCATGTTATGCTTCTGCTTCCCGGAGACGTGTATGCTTATGAGAATCTGACCAGTGGTGTGGTTTAGCCCTGGGGCTGGGGGACTGCAGCCTGTGGCCAAAGTCACGGGAGCACTGGTCCTGCCGGCTACTGCAGTTAGAGTCATTTTTTCCACTGGGTGTCACTTGGTTGGGGCAGCAAAATGCGTAGCTTATCACAATGCTGTTTCATTGTCAATTTAGCTGTTCCTGTTTCCTTTTCTTTCTGTCCTGCCTATGATATGCTGCTGTGTCTGAATATACAGTATTTCTCCTGTCTTATCTACTCAGCCAAGTCCTGTGAAGCTTCTCATCTGCCAGGCAGGCTTTAGCAGCAGCGAAGTACTTGGCCCTTTGCTAGATATTTCTAATCTCCACTGGAGGGAATCTGCGAGGTTAATTTTGATCCTTGTGTTCAAGCTTTGTAAAAGCAAACTGTTGCCTGGGTGGAATTAAGTGAATGCACAACGTGGACCCTCACAGATGCAGACTGGGCTGTTGCCTGCAACATGCATGCCAGGGCAGCGGGATGGATTGAATGAAATTTAATTTCAAGAGGTAAAGATACTGTAGAGGGAGAGATCTCTAGGCCTCCTTCCTCCTTGGAGTTCTTTTTGAGTCAGTGGTCCTCATAGACTGAAATATTTGTACTTGATATGCAGGGCAAGAAAATCATAGAATCATGGTATGGTTTGGGTTGAAGGGACCTTAAAGTCCATCCAGTCCCACCCCCTGCCCTGGGCAGGGACACCTCCCACCAGACCAGGTTGCTCCAAGCCCCCTCCAACCTGGCCTTGAACCCCTCCAGGGATTGGGGCAGCCACAGCTTCTTTGGGCAACCTGGGACAGGCTCTCACCACCCTCACAGCAAAGAATTTCTTCCTGAGATCTCATCTCAATCTCCCCTCTTTCAGTTTAAAACCGTTCCCCCTTGTCCTGTGGCTCCCCTCCCTGATCCAGAGTCCCTCCCCAGCTTTCCTGGAGCCCCTTTAGGGACTGGAAAAGGCTCTAAGGTCTCCCCGGAGCCTTCTCTTCTCCAGGGTGAAGAAGAAAAAATACATCACTGGGAATAAGGAGTAATTTTTTTTCTTTGCTTTCAGAGGGAGAAAAGGTACCGGATAGTTACAGAAGCACCTTTCAGTAGTGTCTTGGCTTTGGTTTTCTGTGGAAATGACTTGTCCTCCACATCCAGTTCCCACAGAACGTACACAGGGGTCTACCAGAGTCCAGCTCAGTTTGTTGCTTCCTGGGAGTCCAGAGATGGACTTCTGGTTCCCTTCTGAGGCAGGGAGGTTCCCTTCCCCTACACACCTTGCAGTTTGCAAGGGTTTATCTGCTTTTCAGCGATAGTGAGGTGGAAAAGGACCTTTGCAAGTCACTTGGGGAAACTGCAATAGAAACCAAGTGCAAGACCTCCCTGTCTAGGGATGAGAGTGGAGGATCCCCTGAGCATGGAGATAGGCCTGGGTCTAGATTTCACCAGATGTTCCCCAGATGAGCTAGTTTTCACTGGGTAGAAAAAGCATTCGGGAAAGGCTGGACCAACTTAGGGCAGCTATAAAAAGCCTGTCTGATCAGCCAGAGATTAAGTCTATTCTTGATAAGACACAAACCAGTGTGTTACTTAACATTTATGTTAGTTTGGCAAACGTGGTGATTTGCTCTAAAGTAGCTGCTGCTGCTCAGGAGCCATTTCTTAGTCCCTCAGCTGCAGGGATTGTATAAAACAGAGAGTACTGTTGGCAAAGACAGTGAAATGGAAAATAATGTCTTCCTTGCTATGAAGCCACATTGTGGCCATGGCTTACAGTTTATGTGGATGCCCATTTATGTGCATGCTTTATTGCACAGCCTTTCAAAAGGAAGCAAGCAGTGGTACAGAGGAGAACCAGAGCATTAAAAGCTGCCCAGAGGACAGGAGGTTATGGAGGGAAATCAGCAAGAAATGCGTTGAAAAGACACAGAAATGCTTTTCCTGTGGTGGATTGTAGAACTCAACATAGACTATTGTTGAGGTCAGAAGTTTTTCATTTTCATCCATGTGTGCGTTCACACCAATAAATAAATGCCATCAAGTTATGTAAAGGTCCCAGTGTTGCTGCCAGCTGCGGCAGTCTCTGCCCCGTATTGGCAGCGTACGATGAGGGGATGCATCACACCATGTTCACTTTCTTCATTGATCATCATCTGCTCGCTGCTGTTGGACATGAAGTACTGAGCTAGATGGCCTGGGTCCAATATCACTGTTCTTATGCTGTCTGTGCGGCTGGGTCTTCCCCTAGCCCTCCTCTTCCCCAAGAGATGCTCTCTTTGTACATGTGTGGAAAAACCCTCTTTCTTCCACACCTTCTCCTTAGGTGTAACAACTCTTTCTCTGTGTGCGATTTGTACTGCAGCATCACCAGTACCAAGCAGAGGGGATATTAACTGTCCTCACCCTGCTGGCCACGCTCCTCCTAGCGCAGCCTGGTTTTTCTTATTCACAAGAGGACACTGGCAACCTTCTCTGTTGAGAAAGGCCATAAACTACCTGCACCATGAACTAGTGCAGCTTTTCTGGTTGGTTGGGAAGTTGGAGTATTTGTGGCTGCAGGCAGGTGTCTAGCAGGCTTGGGGACTGCAAGATGTGCCAACAGCCAGTTCCTTCTGATAGCGGTGCAGGTTGTGTGCCTGCTCTGATGTGCTTGCAGCTTGCTTTTACGCACCGAGCAATTGTGATTGTGTGGCCCATCAGGGCTGTCTCCGAAACCTCACACCTCCTCCCTTGCAGAAGCCTGTGCCAGTTCTTAACAGCAAGAAAACCCCCAACAACCTTTTCTTGTTAAACAACCCACAGTGAATAAAAGGAGCAGACGGAAACACGTGTGATTTCTTGTTATAACACGAGTGACTCAGGCGGATGTTATGCCCATGACAAAAGTATGCCAGTGCCCCAGTACAGATCTGGGGAAATCCCATGTGAAGCCTGAGCAGAGAGATGCCAGAGCTGCTGCCCTGGGACTGTGGCAGCAGGAGGGAGGAGGTGCACCTCTGTCTGTGTCTTTCTTTCCAGCCTGAAGGAGCGCAACAACCGAGGGGGTTTTTAATGCTGCAGAGAGAACAAGGAAACTGTCTGCCACAGCCTGCAATGTTTTTCTGGCTAATGTTTCCCCAGACGGGGATTCACACAGCAAAGCAGCCTCACCCTGATACTTTGCCCTGCTGTAACGTGCCTCCAGTGAAAGCACTTGAACAAGCACTTGCTGCTGTGCTGCCTCCCCATCCCCCTGTCTGGAAGGAAATGAGAAGCCCAGGGCAGATCTGCTGAGGGCACTGGCCCCCCTTGCCAAGCGCAGACCGGCTCTGTGCCGCTGGCCAGGCTGGGGAGCCCCATCTGGGGCCTGCGAGGCAGCGGGTGACGGGAGCGTGACAGGCCCCTGGCCAGGAACAGAGCCTCTGCGGCTGCTTCCTACTGCCGACTGCTCAAGGAAGGGCCGCAGGGGCCCGTGTCGAGATCCAGGGTGCAGCCAGGGCACGTCTGAGCCGTGTCACAAGTGCCAAGAGGGAAGTGAGTCACTCACCTGCGAGGGAGCCCGGCGCCCTCCTTCCCGTCCAGCCCTCTTCCCAGGCAGGAACGCGCTGAGGGCTCAGCCCCGCCGGTGGCTCCGCTTGTGGCAGGGACCTGCTGGGCTGGGTCTGCAGAGCCAGGTGCTCTGTGGCCCAGAGGTAAGAGGCTCTTTTCCCTTCTGCTTGCTCTCCTGGGGCCTCCCTCCCCACGCTCCGCTGGCTCCTCCTGTCTCTGGGGGTCTTGGGACACTGGTGGCTGCGCGTCCCCCTCTGGGTCTGTGGTGTCTGGCAGCTCCAGGGGCTTCAGAGCCATCCTTGTCCTCCCGTCCCTGGTGTGCTGGGAAGACGCACACTCGCTCCCCACGTCCAGCAAACAGGGACAAGGTGCGTCGTGATGGTACAAGTCAGGCCAGCACCACCATCGCCTTTGGGGCTGTGGGGAGGGGGACTGCCCTCGTCTGGGTGCCGTCCCACCCCTGGGTGGCAAAAATGACCCTGGCTTTGTTCAAATGCTGCAAAGCAAGGTGAGGAGCCCTGCCACAGATCTTCCTCTTGCAAGGAAGAGGAGGCAATGCTCAGAGCCTCTCAAGGAGCCCAGGTCCCTCATCCCGCAGGGTGCACGGCCCCTGGCCTTGCCCCTGCCAGGCTGGGGGAGGGGGACAGGGCAGAGCCTGCCCGGGCAGGGGGATGGGGCAGACACTCTCTGGAGGTGACTGGCTGCAGCATGGAGCAGCGGGAGCAGAGTGACCCGGCCGTAGCCAGCTCGGTGAAGGCATGTTTTTCCCCTTGGCAGCGCTCCAAGAGCGCGGGGCTGCAGCACAGGGTGCTGTCGCCATGGCCCTGCAGAGCTCACCCCTCTGCCCGCTGCAGCCAGGCCAGACTCGGGCTCCCCCAGCCCTGCTCCGGCTCCTGCAGTGACCCGTCCTATCGCAGCGTCACTGTAGCGACCGGCAGGAGTCATGTCCAGCCTTTATAGCTGTCAAATGGCCACCAGGAAGCGTGGCCGCTCACTGCCCCCGGGGGCTGTCGCTGGGATGGATGTATTTCCCTGCCGAGCAACCCAAGGTCCGGGGCACATTCCTGTGGAGTTGGTAATAAGGTGGGGACGTGTTGTGCTGGGCTCTGAAATGCTCCCAGGGGAAAGCCACAGAGTTTATTTAGTATTTCTTTCCTGCAACAATCAAAAGGAAATTGTGCAGAGGGTGTGAGATGAGTGGTGGAAACTCACAGGCAATCATGCTCATCAGCTTCATGCCCGTCAGCTCATCAGCTGCTCCGTCTCAAAAAGAACTTTTTGTCCGTTCAAAGACTCATCCTGGCACTGGAGAATGCATCCCGGTGACCAGGACCAGCAGGGATCACACTCACCTGTGTTCTGCTCCTGCATGCTGTGTGCACCCCACAGCACTGAGCCTGGCAGCAGCTCTTGGTGCTTTCACAAGCTCCTCGTTGGTATTTCATCTTGTCCTCATTCACTGTTCTTGTCACTGAACAGGGAAGTCGACAGCGCACACAGAGCCTCTCAGCTAAAACGCTGCTCCTCCGTTTGCACTCCATGGAGAGCTCTTCTCCACTAATACAGCAGGGTTTTGCTCTTGAAAAGAGATCTCTAGATATTTGCTTATAATATGATATTTTCAAAACCAAAAGAGTTTCTCTTATCTGCAAAATTTATATTTGGTCATCAAAAGCAGGTATTTTGCTAACGGGCTCAGAAGGAAATGATGCCAAGGAAACATGCCAGAGACGAGGAGGCCAAGAGGCTGCGGGCACTTGCCATGAGTGCTGACACGGTGCCAGCCCCACCGCCTGCTGGGCAGCTGGCATCAACTGACCCCCATGAAAAGTAATTTGGAAGAGCTGCAGGGACCCAGTGTCCTGATGGAACAACCCAAAATACCATTGCTGCTGGTTAACAGCATCACATGTGAATCAGTTAAAGAAGTTTATTTATTTATTAGATTGTAAGTTTGGTTGATAAAAGTAAAGGCTTGTTCAATATTTTATTTTTAACCTGGCCTTGTATGGCATCCAGCGGTGTCAGACTGCGTGCATGCCCCCGAGTGGAAGAGTGGTAAATAACACAGAGAACAGGACACTCAAAAACTGCGAGGACCACTCAATATGCCAGGCCACCGCAAACAACATGCGGCTTAATTCCGGCCTCACAGCTCTGTCCTGGGAAGGAGGCAGCAGTCCCCAGAGAGCGGGCCGTGGAGTCACCAGGCTGGAAGGGACGGGAGCGGGGCGGTGCTGGCTGCAGGGGCAACGGGACCCGTCAGTGCAAACCAGACACGATGCAGTTCAAGAGGGAGGTGGGGGGATAGTTCTCCCCCCTTCTCTCTTGCCTTTGTACTGGGAGCGCTGAACCTGGGTCCCCTGATGCAACAGCTGAAAATGGAGATGATGAGGAAGGGGACTCCCCAACTAATTAAGAGATGGACAAGTGCAAGGCTGGCAAAAGGCCAGTCTATGTGACCAAGCAGTTGTTCTGGGAATTTCTGTGAATCTCAATAGCTTGAGGCCTATCCTGAGCGTTTGAGGCAAAGCTGAGAAATGAGTAAATCCGGTGAGCAGTGAGGAGGCACTGGCCAGCATGGAGGTGGTCAGGTCCCAGCTCAGGGCAGCCAGAGGTGTCCTGACTCCAGTGAGAGTGCTTAAATCAGAAAGCAAAGCTGGTGTCACTGCTAGAGCTTCCACCCATCAGGTCTCTCAGTGTCTTTCACCCCTGGACTTGGTATGATTTTCTTGTTTGTTTCTCTGGTTTTACGGAAGAGCTTTTTCGCTGAACTTTGGTGACGTGCAGCGCCAACACGGGGCTGAACAGGGGAAGGATGAAGATTTCTGATGAGAGTTCCTTCCCAGCCCCAAACCTCCTGGGCCCTCATTTCTTCTCAGAACTTGGCTGCGCCAGGACAGCAAGATTTATTTGGCTGTTGCTACAGGCTTTGCAAGCTCTCCCCTTCCCTCCCTGACCAGACATCCTCGCTGGTGGCTCTTCCCCAAGGCACAGACTGCCTGCTGGCCAGCCTCATTAGCATGCTTTTGGTTTGTTTTTAATTTAAGCTCCCAGAAGCAGCCTTACGGGCATAACTGGGGCTCTGTCCAGTTATCATTACCTTGAATATCTCCAGGATGGGGCCTCAACCACCTCCCTGGGCAACCTGTTCCAGTGCTCCACCACCCTCACAGTAAAGAACTTTCTCCTCATCTCCAATCTAAATCTGTTTCCCTCCAGCTTAAAGCCATTGCCCCTCGTCCTGTCACTGCAGGCCTTTGTAAACAGGCTCTCCCCAGCCTTCCTGTTGGCTCCCTTCAGGTACTGGAAGGCTGCTATTAGGTCTCCCCGGAGCCTCCTCTTCTCCAGGCTGAACAACCCCAGCTCCCTCAGCCTGTCCTCGTAGCAGAGGCTGGAACCCCCTGAGCATCCTTGTGGCCCTCCTCTGGACCTGCTCCATCAGGTCTATGTCTTTCCTATATTGAGGGCTCCAGACCTGTACACAGCGCTCCAGGAGAGGTCTCACCAGAGCAGAGTAAAGCAGAAGAATCACCTCTCTGGACCTGCTAGCAATGCAGGTCCTTTTGATGCAGCCCAGGATGTGACTGGCCTTCTGGGCTGCAAGTGCACACTGCCTGCTCATGTCCAGCTTCTCATCCACCAGCACCCCCAAGTCCCTTTCCTCAGGGCTGCTTTCTAATCCCTCATCCCCCCAGTCTGTATTGATGGCGAGGATTGTTCCGGCCCAGGTGCAGAACCTTGCACTTGTTCTTGTTGAACCTCATGAGGTTCACCTGGGCCCACCTCTCCAGCCTGTCCCGGTCCTTCTGGATGACATCCCATCCCTCTGGTGTATTCACAACCCCACAGAGCTTGGTGTCATCTGCAAACTTGCTGATGGTGCATTTAGTCCCTCTGTCTATATCATTGATAAAAATGTTAAATAGTATTGGTCCCAGCATGGACCCTTGTCACTGCTCTCCATCTGGACTTCGAGCCATTGAGTACTAACCTCTGGATGCGACCATCCAGCCAGTTCTGTATCCACTGGACAGTGCACCCATCAAATCCGTACCCCTCCAATTTGGCGAGCAGGATGTTGTGGGGGACTGTGTCAAAGGCCTTACAGAAATCCAGATAGATCACATCCATAGGTTGTCCCTTATCTGCTGACCTAGTTACTTTATCATAGAAGGCCACTAGGTTTGTCAGGCAGGACCTGCCCGTAGTAAAGCCATTTTGGCTGTCCTGAATCACTTCCCTGTCCTTCATGTGTCCAAGCATGGCATCTAGAAGGATCTGTTCCATGATCTTCCCATGCATGGAGGTGAGGCTGACAGGTCGGTAGACCCTTTCTACCCTTTATAAAAATGTGTGTGAGCATGACCAATGGGGTCATGCTCCTTGGTCCACCTTTGTAGTGGTTGATGTGGAAGGGGGAGGGAGGGAGGATGGTGGGTGACGAAGGGAAGGAAACTGCTGCAGCCTTCATCCCACCACAGACCTCCAGCACCACTGCAAGAGCCTCATCTCACCCTTCAGGTCACTCTGGCGTGGCCTGACAGAGCCAGAGTCTGGATGTTCCCTGGTCCCCTGCTCCACACAGCCAGCCCCTGTGCAGCCTGGGCAGGGTAGAGCAGGGTTTCCCACCCTGTGCAGTGCCGGGCTCCCTGGCACTGGGCAAGTTTGGGTCCTGCTCAGCTCAGGTGGCTTCCGAGTCTCTTGGACACATGCTGTCTCTTGGACACATGCTGTCGCTGTGGGGGACCAGGGTGATCCCACAGCAGCTCAGAGCATGTCCTGCTGTGGTGTCCATATACCTCTGGGTGTTTTGAAGCTTCCCCTGAGCAGGCCCCAGAGCAGCAGGACATCCTGGTTTGCACAGCAGTTTGCTGAGCACTTGCACAATGCCCTGCCAGGCCCGGGGCTCAGCAGGGGCTCCTGGTGGCTACCAGGCACTGGCCGCACGGCCTGCCTCTGTTCACCCAGGGCACACCAGCTCCTTCCCTCTATAATGGCCCTGATAAAGGCTGTCTGCACTCTCCAGGGAAGAGCCAGGGAAAATCCAGGGAAGAGCTGACCCAGTCAAGGAAGCCCAGGTTGGTGTTGGGGCTTTGCCTGCCCCTGGCTGGGGGACATACAGCCACCAGCATGGACAGGGGGTGGGTTCTGGCACCACACTGGCTGCCCCGATGCTGCGCAGCCCATCACCTCCAGATGCCTAAGGATGCAAGCCAAAAGTCAGCATCTTGGCAGAGCAGCGCTGCTGCTGTCCACCTTGTCTGCTCTGCCAGTGGCCCATATTCCCAGCTGATGAGGAGGTTGCTGTGTCCTGGCTCAGAGCCAGGACTCACCAGCCCAAAACCAAAGCATGACTTGAAGATGTTCCAGGGTCTGTCCCAGCTCCTGGCTCTCAGAGATGTTTGGCCAGTTCCCTCAACTAGTGTGGCCCAGGAGACACAACCCTCATCCTGTCCCTGGTGGCTATCCCAAGACATGACACCACACCATAGTGTGGTGCTCTGGTGCTCCTCACAGTATGGACATGGCCAGGGCCTACCATAGGCTGGTTGGCACAGATGACATTTCATGAGAAGAGACAGGAGAGTCAGCCTTCCCAGGGGAGCCCAGGGGAGGCCTTCCCAGGCCTCTTCTGCTTCCATTTGGGCCCACATTGTTCCTCAGCAGCCTTGTTACAGGCTTGGGCACCTCTTTGTGCAGGTGATGGACTTTGTGGCTCTGTTCCTGTGTTTCACACTGAATCCAGGCACCAGACTCAATGTTTCAGTTCCTGTAGGTGCCTGCAGGTGTGAGATTTGTGCAGGACATGGTGCAGGTGCTCCAAGCTCACCTGTGTACAGGTGTAAGAGCAGTGTCTGCATGGAGGGGAGGTTAACCACCAGCATGGGAGCTACAGCTTGGGATTTATGGCTTAGCTGGGGAGATGTGTGCAGCTTTGCTTGACACCGGTGTCTCCCTGACCACCCAACCAATTTCCATCACTGTGATGAGTGGTCTTCAAGCTGCCACAAATAATGGTGTCATGATGTGAAGTTGGATGGGCCAGGCAGATGGCCACCTGCCATGCTGTGGTGTCTCAGTGTCCGCTGAAGGCACCTGCAGTAAAAGGAGACTTGGGATGACTGGATTCCTAGGTCTGTTTAGCCCCAACACAAGTGTGAAGGAGTCTTCTAGGGAATTAAATTGTTCATGGGATATCTGACTTTCCTAGGACTTCCTTTCCTCATAGTTGTTAAGTGAAAGCTCTCCTGCCTTCTGCCATTCATCTGTTTGGAAGAAGGATGTTCAAATACTGTCTAATCCCAGATCTAACCAGGGACATGGAGTGGATTCTTATTCTGCCTTTAGAGGAAAATCCCAATTTTGCCCTCTTTCAGGATCATCAGAAGCAGAGATACTTTGATGAAACAGCTTTAAGGACTTTCCAGATCTTAGCTGTGGTTAATTGTCTTTCCCCTACAGCTTATTTTATTTCTCATTTCCTTTGAGCTGATGTCATACATTTCCTCTTCTCTAGTGACTCTGCAGTCATGCTGCAGTTGCTCCCATTCTGGTGTCCTGTTCTTGAGAGCTACTTGCGCGGAGACCTTCCAGCCCCAGATCAGAGAAAGTAACACTGGAAGAAGACTGAGCACCCTCAGTAAAACACCCATCACTGCTCTAGTAAAGCTGAAGACCGACGTATCGAACTGAATCCTTTCAACTGTGGTAAGCAGAAAAAATATTTTATTAGTACTCTTTCTCTTGGAACATACTTTTGCTGATGGCATAGCTTGTGTTAGCATGGTCTTTGCAACTTGCAGCCATGAGCCAGTAAATCCTTAGTGGGAGAGCATGGCCCATGGCATAGGGCATAGACTGGGAGCAGAGCCCGAAGTTACCCTGCTGCGCAGCTGGTCACTTCCACCTCTAGTTCTGCATACACTGGAGCTGATGCTATACAGTGGGGCTGGGGATTATCAGCTGGTGTACCAGTATACAAGTTAGTGGCTTGGGCTAGAGTTGCCAGGGATTTGGGTAATGCTGCTGCAGGGAACGTCACCCACAGCCCACACCCTGACCGCTGTGCCTCTTCTCCCTTCTGCGGGCACGGAGAATATTTATGTGTTTTATACAAAGGGGAACTGCTTCAACAGGAGAGGCTGAGTGAGATCCCGTCTGTGGTACTCCTGAGTCTAGGGTTTAGGACATCTCACAAGTATATGGGAGATGTGAGCTTGAGTTCCTCAGGCTGAAGAGAGAAGTGGGAATTGAGTAAATTTAGTGGGAAATGGTGCTGTACTCCTTTCTAGCTGTATTTTGTAGAATATTTGGCTTGACAAGTGAGAAGGGAAGAGCAACTCTCTTGCGATTCCCTGAATGACCTTGGCATTGGCACTGCACAGCGTACTAATGCAAAGACAGATGAGCTCTGGAAGTGCTTCTGGGACCGTGAGACAGCACTGTCACCCCACAGCCCACCTCTGCCAGAGAGTCCCAGCAGACTTAACAATGTACAGCACGTCCTTACATTCATCTCCCTATCAAAGCGCAGCCCCTTAGCTCAAACCCATCTTCTGTGCAGGGCTTTGCAGGACTTTGCATTAGTACGCTGTGCAGTGCCCATGCACAGCACCAGAAAGGGAGGCATAGATGGAAGGTGCCCCGTGGCACAGCCTAAATGGACTTTGTGAATAACAATTGTGCCTACATATTGGACGTGGCACTTCTCCTCCTCCCGGATGCATCGCGTTTTTCTTTTTTTCCCACTCTTGGTATATTCAGGTCTGGTGCTACACTGCTAGAACACCTTTTCTTGCAAAGGTTCCAGCCCCAAGCACCAGAAATATTTGCTGAAGTTGGCAGACAGTCAGAGCAGTGGGTTTAAGATGCAGATTTGGAAAAAAAAGTTCTTTAGTGCTCTCATGTAATTCAGACTTTTTTTCTTTTTCTAACATCAGAATAGTGTGTCAAAGACAAAGCTTCTCAATTGTTTCTCTTGCCCCTGCACAGCCTCATCCCTTCCCTGAATGTCTGGTGCTCTCCAGAGTTGAGAGGTGCAAACCTTCCCAACTGGTGCATGGCCTTCCAGGGGTGGCCCATCAGCAGGTGGGAGAGCTGGGCTCAGACACGGACACTGATTAACAGCCGTGTTGTGAGAATTACCACTTTTCATACATAGATGAGGAAGCAGATCCATGAGATGACTGGTAGGACTTGCCTTGAGTCCTGCATGAATCAAAGGTAGAAGAGGGACAGAGTTGGGGCTCCTCTGAGACCTCTCCGCAGGACAGTGGGGAGTCACACATTCCTCCTCAGGGATGTGCCAGACCTCTGTGGCCAGACCCCAAGGTGTCATAGCCCAGAGTTCCCCATCTCCTGGCTACCACCATCTGAATCAACTCCTACCCCTTAGAGATCAGTGGGTTCTCAGCCAGGTGGCAGACATCGAGGTGAAAGAGGACAGATACACGTGTCACGTGGCCAACTACTAGTACTGCCACAGCTATTTGCTAATTCACGTGGAACATGACTGAAAGATTGAGTTTAAAGACACTCAAACCCCAGTGCTGCCCAGCATGCAGCAGCCTGTGAAGGTCCAAGGACAAGCTGTGGATCCCTGTAGCTGCCCTGTCTTTAGGGGACCTGTGAGGGGTGATGAGTGACAGGCTTGAGAAGATGACTATTGCTTTCCTCTCATAACAACTGGAAAGAAGTACCAAAGGTACTTCCTTCAGAGTTTTCTGAAGAAAGATAGAACTTTCTCAAGCCACAGCTGACTTCCTCATTTGCAGAGGAAAATTGCAAATGTGTAAATGAGGAACCAACAGTACATGGGCAGAAAGAGAGACTCAACCCAGAGTGGGTGAGATGGGGGTTCGTGCCACTATCTGCTGCTGGGGAAGATCCAGAAGGTTTCAAGGCAGGAGGCTGCCTTTTCACGAGGTGGCCATCTTTCGGGGAAAATGCTTGCTGTCCATAGGGCTGGTGGAGCCGGGACAAACACAGTACAATGTTCAGCACCCGGCAGTACCGTCATAACTTGAAAAGAAGGTTAGGCTTCATGACTGGTGGTACAGTTTGCTCAATCTCAAGGAAAACCTCCATGTTCTGCAAATTACATTAAAAACCCAGCAAGCTTACCATCATTGTCCTTGCCAGGAGCTCTCAAACCACTTTGTCTACATTCATCAGTTATCTTCCCATGGAAGAGGAGGGAGAGAAAACCAAGCAGGTCTGCAGGACTGTGTTATGGAGAGGTGAGGGCCTGCCCAGCATCAGACAGGGAGTTCTCCCTAAAGCCAAGAAGAGGTGTGTGTGTCCTCTGTATGGAAAAAAAAACCCAAACCCAGCAGGTTAAAGTATACGAGGGATTAGACTGAATCTATGTAATTCTGATAAAAGAACACATACAGTATTGACGATGCAGGAATTTGATATGTCCGAACTATAGGCAAGATTTGAAGAAATACTAACTGAGGTAGGGACTGGTAATATTAAAAACCTGAAGGCGTGTCTTTAAGGACAGTGTTTGTCAGCAGCCTCACCAACGAGACAGGAAAGTACAGAATTGCAGCTGCTGACACTTGTATTTGAGGCAGAAATAGGGGAAGGGGAAGGAAGGGAGACAGATTGGTTTGATGACAACTTGAATTCAGAATGGTGGCACAATAGACAACAGCCAGGATTTTAAGAGAAATAAACTGTAGTTAAAATCAACAATGCACCAGAAAACATCACCCTTAAGGACTAGTGACTCATCTTTTACATCATTCACTGAGTAAAAAAACTGAGAGCTCTGGTTGCCTACAAAAGTGAATATGACCCTTTGGTGCCTGAAACTAAGAAAACAAATACAATCTTTAGACGTGTAAGGTGGAAAATGTCAGAAAACAACAGGAAGAGGGTGACTCTGGAAATGGCCCTAGTGAGACATTTTTCCCAGACATTTTTCCCAGACATTTTTCACTTCTGGAATTTCTAGGTAAAAATATATGTAGGCAAGTTAAAAAGCATTAGGAACCACACTGGAAAAGAAGAGACCCAGAAAACCTGTTTGCTTATGGTAAAAGATTAAGAAGCTGGGGACGGTGTGGAGTAACATGATTTTATCTAAGAACCCTCACGTGGAAAAGTCTGATGAGATTAGAGATTAGTGATCTGAAATCCACACTGCAGCAAACAACACTGGCTGAAGACACAAAGGTTAGGATGATGTGGAAATGGTATCAGAGAGGACCAAGTGGTCAGGGGAGGTGTCTGTAGCTGGAGCAGAACTCCTCGGGTTTCAGACAGCTGAAAATAAAAGGTGGGTTTTGGCTTAGCAATGGCACACATCAATCAGCTCATTTTATGCTTTATATTTTTAGGTAAGAAGAAAAGCTACGGCAGGAAATTCTGCTTCAGAGGTCCTCACTCAGGAACATGATGTCTGGAACACATAAAGATGGCGCTGAAGGTGCTCCTTCATGCCATAGGATAGACTCTGACTTTCGCTACAACCTCTTCACTGTTTTCTATAGCATCATTTTCATTCTGGGCTTTGTTGCTAACTGCTACGTGCTCTGGATTTTCAGCCGTATTTACCCCACCAAGAAACTCAATGAAATCAAGATATTCATGGTGAACCTGACAGTAGCTGACTTGCTCTTCTTGATTACGATGCCAATGTGGATTGTTTACTATCACCACCAGGGAGACTGGATCATGCCAGTGTTCCTCTGTAATGTGGCTGGCTGTTTATTTTTCGTTAACACCTACTCTTCTGTTGCCTTTCTGATGGTCATCACATACAACCGTTACCAAGCGGTGACTAATCCCATTAAAGCTGCTCAGTTTACCACCCAGAGAAGGGGTATCTACTTATCAGCAGCTATCTGGATCATAATAGTGGGTAGCTCTTTGTACTACCTTTTTGACAATAATACTAATCTAGAGGAGATACATTCGAAGAATTTCACGCGGTGCTTTGAGCACTATGACTCTTCTAGAGGTGTTTCAGCTGTTCTTGCCATTCATGTCATCATCTGTATTCTCTTCTATATAATTTTCATATGTATACTAGGCTGGAACATCATCATTATCAGGACTCTGTTCTCCAAATCAGCACAGCCACGGAAGAGTGCTCATGTTAAGCAAAGGGCGCTCTGGATGGTTTGCACAGTGCTGGCTGTGTTCATTTTAAGCTTTGTACCTCATCACATAGTGCACTTACCCTGGACCCTGACTGTTCTGGAGTTCTGGAAGAAAGAAAACTGTCAGTTGCGCCAACAACTCAATGATGCTCACCAGGTGACCCTGTGCCTCTTGAGTACGAACTGTGTGTTGGACCCAATCATCTACTGCTTCCTCACCAAGAAGTTCCAGAAGCATCTTTCTGAAAATCTGAAAAGCATGAAAGGGAGTCGCAAGTGCTCCAGGCAAACCACAGACACAATGATTGAGGGCACCATTCACCAAGAGGATGCCATCAGGATCTAGGTCAGCCCTGTTCTGATTGCAGACCAAGATGTGTGAATTAGTCACTCATCTTTTCTCAAGAAGAGGTACTGAGGGACATAACAGAGGACCAGGATATTACATTTCCTTTTACCCATTAGACAGAAGAATGAACACTCATTTCTTCTATCATATGGAACTTGCAGAACTGGAACCTGTAATAATCTGGCAGAAAAGCACCTTCTGTCTGGGCTGATGTTCTCATGGGCACTGAGAACAGCTCAGACGATCTGCTTTTACATGAAAGAAATGTGTCATTGACTCTCTCCAATGTGCAGCCAGAAGCTAAGTGCACTTTAGCTACACATTGTCTCAGCCCAGATAGCACCATCCCTGATCCTTTGTCTGCCCAGCTACCATGAAGAATCTGCGTATCAGAGCTGTAAGAGACTTCTAAAAGACCTGGAAGAACAGACTGAGTTCCTAGCATCATCAAGTGACTTTTCTAAGAAGCCTGCATGGTTCTGTGAAGACAGTCTGAGCTGAAGAAGTTCTTGGGTGGCTAGAAGGGACAAAGTCCAAGGAGTTCCTCAAATGCCACCTCTGATCCTGTTTTACCTACTCCCATGGTCTGCTGGGGCTCGTACTTGACACATGTCTGGGAGTAGCTACTACGAACTTTTGCCTTTGCTCCCAGCTTCTTAATCAGTCAAGTAACTGAACTAATAGGCAAGAAAAGGAAGAGAAATTGGCAGTGCCTCAGCTCCCTCACACAGCATTATGTCCAAAGGGAACTATGGTCTGGCCTGGCTGGTATGACAGCAGAACTGGCAAACCAGTGCCATCTTGCACTCAGCTGAGGGATTTTTGGCTGCCTGCATGTGTCTGTGGAAATCCAATCTCACTTTGGAGGCTCCAGACAACAGAAGATTATTGTCAGTATGGGCATTATGATAAGAAGAGAGCAAGCTTAAAATACTCCAGTATCTTTATTCTTATTTATTTAAATTAGGCTTGTAGCAAGCAACTGCACATTATTCCTTCCCCCAGCCTTTCTATTTCTGCTACCAAGAAATGAAGCTGACCAATTCTTGATATACTACCACGAGTGAAGTGCTAAGTCAGCTCATGGCCGCTTTCTGAGTAACCCAGTGCTGTGGAGGGACACAGTCCATCTGACAGGTATCCATTCACACAGTCTGACCAGACTGGAGATACCTCGCTCAGGGCTGGCTGCTGGCAGTTAGGGCCCAGGGCAAACTGTTGTTCCAGGGTGCTGAGATCAGTCACAAATCATGAGGCACTTGAGGTTCCTTTTCTGACCCAAATTGCTCAATCCAGCACAGGAAATTGGGCAGGGGAGGGAAGGGTTTTCACAACAGTTTTTGGTTCCCTAAACTACATAGAAGAGTCTGGTTGATGACAAGAAAAACATATTTGACCTGTGACACTGATTATTCATACGCATGCATAGCAGCCTCCCTACACCCACCAGAGAACATGAAAGATAAGCTCAAGTCTTTCCAAAGATAGGACCAACGTTTGTATCAGACTTTGCCTATATTCAGTGGATATATGGGTCCTTCAGGTGTATCTCCTGAAGATCCTCAGACAGCTCTTATTCTTACTTTTGTGAATGTGCAAAAGAACTAAGAGGTTTCTTTTCCATTGCCATCTGCCAGGGCCACCCACACACTGCAGGCCCAGCGCCGGGCAGAGGAGCGTCTGATCACAACAGGAATGCCTCTCCCTTCTGGCCTGGTCTCTGATCCAGTAATGCCCCTCATAAAGAGCACCTCTGGCACCTCTTACCATGTGCCGCTGCCTTGCCCAAAGCTTTGCCCTGAATCCACAGTCAGCCGAGTCACAGCTCACAGCACGGGGGCAATTGCTGTAATTTAAAAGCCTAAATCCCACTTGTTGTAGGAATCTGTGTGCCTGCCCTCCCAGGCAGCAGGTTCTGGGGAGCTCCTGCAGCTGGGGTGGAGCTTTCCTCTTTACTCTCCACACCCGACGTGACAGCAGAGCTCTCTTGCTTCACAGCCTCTAAAGCACTGAACAGATGAAGTTTGGCAACACTTGGAGGAAACGGAAAGGGATTTTACCCTGATAAATGTGCGATCTTCTATTGATTTGAGAGTTTACAGATTAGGCAACCGACTGTGGGTGAATCACATGCTTTACTGCATGGCAAACAGCTGTAAGGCTAGCGTGGGCTCAGAGAACAGCTGAAAACTTGCATTTAGGCTGAGTGGAGGAAAAAGCCCTGAGGACACTTCAGGAGGATATGCTGTAGTAATTAAGTCACTAACGATGTGTTTCAAGAAACCAGTCTGAGCTTCTACTTCTGTTCCTAGAATTACTTCCTTGGTTTTACCGCAATGTTGCATTATTCTGCTTTAGTTTGCAAAAAAATGGATACACAAAAGTTCCTTTAAATAAAATCGTGTTCTCCAAGTGTTTTGCCCTGTAACTTCTCCAACCTTATCTTTCTGTACTTATACTCAAGGAAAAGTCCTGGGCACTGTGGGAAATGAGCTAAGTTTTGCTTCAGCTAATTGATATATTCTTGTTAGTATGTCAGTACTAACAAAGGAGTCTTAGTGATAGTAGAGTCTAATAAATTGTATCCAATTAATCCCTTGCTCTGTCAAGGGATTCTTGTTCGCAGAGCGTTATCTAGGAGAAGAGAAACAGACTGGAACATGGCCTTCAACACAGCAACCCAGAGAGTAGGGGAGTATCAACAAGGCCAAAGAAACCAGTCTGCTAAATCTGCCAAAGAGATGGTAGCAAAGACTGGGAAATAACGGGCAGCATAATCAACTAATCAAAGGTGTGTTTAGGATAATGATTTCGTAGAATAGGTGTATGTGTGCCTTATATGGGAAAAAAAGCGCAAACTCACCCTGTAATAAGTCAGGCGGCCGGGAAGAAGGTGAGCTCCAACTTCTCAGCCCATGAGAAGAGACAGAAACGCAGGCGGCCGGGATAAAGGTATAAAATACCTGAAAGCTGAAGGATCACTGTGCATCTATTTTTAGTACACCCATTTTTGGTGCACCCGATTCAGCGCTGTTTCATATTAATCAATTTTTTTAACCTTTGCTTCGGTGACTTTGTCCTCTTTAAATTCTAAGATGTGAGTTGGTGTTTCTCACAGCACCACGCTGCCACAGCCTGATTTTGGTGTCATTTTTTTAAAAATCACCAGGTGAACTCTTGGGAGAGGTGAAATTCAAGGCTCGGCAAGCTTGGACTTGCTAAAAGGGAAGGGGAAATAACTAATTTCTGAGAGAAAACAATTTCTGACAGGCCCTCTCGATCTCTCCAGGCCCCGGCCTGGGCCCCGCACACACAGGGACTGCCGACGGACGCGGACGCGGCCCCGGCCGCGAAGCGACGAGTCGCACCGGGCGCCCACAGCGGGCCGAGCCGGGGCCGCAGCAGCCCAGGTCTCC